GTCTTCCTATTGATCCTCCTCCCTGGCTCCAAAAGTCTACCTCTGTTATCTCTCCTTTCTTCTATTTATTGATGTATTAACTTATGTAATTTGGGGGTTTCTCATATATAAGAGAACATATATATGTACTATTTAACTTCCTGAGTGTGGCTAATCTCACTTAACATAGTGGTTTCTAGTAGAGATTTCCAGGAGTTAGGTTGCTTTTTTTTTAACAGATTCCCCTAGATTGTTCTCATCAAAGACTAAACAATTCACCTGTTAACCTGCAGCAAACGAGCACCCCCACTTCCCTGACAGTCTCACCATGTGGATGAAATTCCTATCTAATTTTTGCCAATACTATCAATATACAGTGACAATTCATTGTTAGTTTATTTTGGTTTCCCTTAAGTTTGAGAAAGCTTAAAGATATTTTATTGTTGTTCTCCCAGACCATTTAAATTTGTTCTTCAGTGACCTGCCTGTTTGTCTGCTCATGTTGCTATTGAGTCATCATTTTTGGTTGTGATTTGTTAAAGTTCTAACACACTCTTTGCCTGTTATATCCATTGCAAAGTCTTTTCCAATCCAGTATTTGTACTTCAGTTTTGCATTTATGTTTTACCTTTTAAAACATCTTAATGCTTATAAAATCAAATGACTACATAATAATTTATAGGTTCCTATCTTGCCAATATCCAATATAAATATATGACCTCCTACATTTTATTTAGGTGTTATGGCTTTATTCTTTATCAAATTTTTAATCCATCTGAAATACACTTTGAGTAGAAGATGAGAGACAGAAATCATATTCATTGTTTCCTAATGCATAACCAATTTCCCAGTATTATTTATTAAATAAAGCACTCTTTCCTGATGAGTTGAAATATATTTTCCACACATTGAATTCCCACAGGCAGTAGAATCTATTTTGGGGCACCTAATTCTACATGGTTCCATTATTCTTTTGCCTATTCCTATGATAATATTATGCTGCTTTTATTACAGAAACATTGCCTATTTTAATATCTTAGAAGGTCCTCTTTTTCACAATTTTCTTGACTATTCATAAACATCTATTCTCCCATATAAAATGAAGCTCATTTAATTCAACTTAAACACATGCAGCAGGCTTCTAATTTAGATTGCCTTTCATTTCTATATTAATGGGGAAATTCATGTTCTTATAATATTAAATGTCCCCATACAGGAATGTGGTACATCTTCCTGTTTATTTGTGTTTTATTTCATGCCCTCATAAGGAACAAGTATGAAGCCACGAAGGACAGGGTTGCCAGGACTCTTCCACCCAAGACCATCTAGGGATGCTAGGAAATCTTGGAACACCTTCTGCCTCTGGTACATGAGGTCCCTAGTGGTGACTTTAATTGAGCTCATCCTGCACTCTCCTGCCTCTTTGACAACACCTCTATGCAGTCTCAACTTTCATCCATTCTCTGGCCATGTCTGCCTTCCTGACACCTGTCCCTAAAGCTCACAATAGCTGCAATCTCCTGGTCCTGGTCGCATGGTCATAACCGTCCCCTTCTCCACAGCTCCCTCTAGTGTGTGCCGCGGGACATGCAGCTCCTCACATAGCCTTCCCTGGAGAGAGGGCCAACAGCCCAGCATCTTCCTGGAGATCTGCTTCCATGGTAGCAGTCGCAGCACACAAGATACTTGGGCAGTGGGTGGCTCTGTCTGCACGTTATTCCTGCTGCTGTCCCCCAGTGCTCTCCTGTGAAATTCTTGTCTGGATCTCTGGGATCCCGTTTACTGGGCAGCCACAGAGCTGCCATTCACTGACTCCCAGGGGTTTGAACATTTGTCACCCAATTTTCTGACACAGATTCATTTTCTGAGCAAATTTCTGTTCTCACTAATGTTCAGAATTTTGGCTCTTGGTGAATTGCCTCAATGTGGATATCTCTGTCACTTAGAAAGTGAATCAGGCTAGCAAATTTCACCCTTTCCTCTGTGCTTGTCCTCTACAGTGTCCTGTTTCCTGAGACAGCCTGGACAATGCCCCCAATAAATAGTCCTTGGGTCCTGGTGAAATGGGAAGGATCCACGTGTGGGTGGATCGAGAACCTGTGCTCACCTCTCTCCAAGCTCCCAGATTAATTCCTACCTTAACATTTGAGTTTTAAACTTCCAGTTCCACAGTGATACATTAGACTCATTCCCAAATATTTTCTTTGTACTTTTAATGTGTTGGAAAGAATCTGCAGAATACTAAGACATTAATACACTCACTCACAATTTAAGTTACCCAGCAGAGGAGGCAGATGAAACAAGGGGTGGCCGCACCAGCCCTACATCACAACCAAGACACTGTGTTAACTCCAGAGTGGTGGGTAGCTTCCCTCCCACCTGGTATCATTTGTTCATCTTATAGAACAACTGCTTTTCTCACATCTAAAATCACTTCATGCTGAAAAAGCTCATAATTGTGGTACAACATGAATAATCTTGGGTCAATTACTTAGCTCCCTTCTGGTCCTGTTTTCTGGTCTTTAAAAATAAAAATAGTAGTAGTTCTTCCGTAAAGCTATGTAGATGATTCAAGGAATTGATATATATTAGGCCTTTGGGACAGTGCATGGGTTGTGATTAGTGCAATACAAATGTTCATCACCACTAGCATGTTTGTTCCTGAATTTGGTCCCTATTTATCCTCTCGATACAGAATTCTTTACTTTGTCACCCTGCTAACCCTGGTTTCTTTCCCTTCTGTTGCCATTTCTGGGACCATTCTTCATGAGCTTTCTGCATCCTCTGGGGATATTTTGAAAAGAAAGATTTGAGCTGGGCATGGTGATGCACACCTGTAATCCCAGCACTGTGGGAGCCTGAGTTAGGAAGATCACAAATTTGAGCCCAGCCTGGGCAATTTAGAGACTTATCAAGTCTCTGTCTCAAAATTTAGAAACTTTTTTTTGTAAAGAGCTGGGGATGTAGTTCTGTGAGAAGGCCATGTGTTCAGTACCCATTACCTTCAAAAAAAAATTAAAAACAGAAAAGAAAGATTAATCTGATTGTTGAACACTGAAGACATTCTCGTGGTCCTCAGGAGGTCCTGCATATTCAGAAAAATTGTCACTGATTTGCAAGACCAAAGGTCTATCTCAGATAAAGACTCCCCCCAAAATGTGTTACACCAAGTCCCTCCCCACATTATAACATCTTCTCAAAGCACCTCCCTGCCTCCATGTTACTACAGTAACCCACATCCCATAATATGCTTTCAACCTTGGCCAGACAGGCTTTTGTGTAGGAGAGGCAGGTGGCGGTGGCTCTGATTCTCCTCTTCAGGCGCAGTCTCTGCAGTCCTCTTTCCAGGCTCCGGGCATGTTGTCCTCCAGTGCCTGCCTCTAAGTGTTTTGACAAGTCCCAGGGCACTGATGTGTCCCACATGCCCCTGAAATCACCATCTCCCCTGGCATTAGCTACTCACCAAAAGAAAAGCAGCTTTACAAAACAAAACAATCCACATCCCAAAATAGAAAAAGCATCCAAAATACACTCTGTATCAACAGCTTCCCCATCTGTGATCAAAAATACTCAGGGAAAAAATTTCAACTGCACTGAATATGTACAGCCCTTTCTCTTGTCCTTGTTCCCTAAACAACAGAGTATAACTGTGTACAGTGTTTTCGGTGACATAGGTCATCTAGAGATAATTTCGAGTGTCCAGGAGACCGTGCATGGGTTTTATGCAAATACTGCACCATGTTAATACAGGAGATATCAGCAGCTGCGAATTTTGGTGTCCACGTGGCACACAGAGTTCATTCAACTGAGTTCATTCACTCAGTGCCACATGAGTTCATTTACAATCATGAGTTCATCTATAACTATGCACACATAAGTTAGACGAGTATCATTGTGTGCTTCCTCACATGTGTCAGGCACTGTGCTGGGCTCTGGGAACATTCTGGAGGACAGCAGATGTGGGACTGTGTGGAGGCAGCTCAGACCGACAAGACAGTGGGAGCCCCTGAGATCTACCCAGTAACCCCACTAGTTAAAGGCAAACATTCCAACTCAGCTAAGTGCTGCAGGGGACAAGGAATAAAATAGAGGAAGCTGACTGAGGCTTGCAGCACATGGCAGATGCCTCTGAAGAAGAGATATTTGATGTGTAAAGAATGTCTGGAGTTACTTGGGAAAGAAGGGGAAGAATATTCCATGCACCTGGGTCTGCATACGGAAGGGTGCCCTCGTGGAGAGGAGACAGCCAGTATGAAAAGCATGAGGCTTTCCAGAGGCACGGTCACTGGCAAAGATTGTGGAGGAGCAGCCTACGTGTGGTCTTGGGCATGAGCTGTCTGAGGCGTGCTTGGGACAAATCAAGGGACAGGACTAAGCAGGTCCTTGGAATACGCATCTGCAACTCAGGGGGAATGTCTGAGCCCAAGATGTAACTGGATGTAAATAACTTAAAGATGATTATTAGTTAAAACTAATCCTCTTGGAAGCATTAGGAAGAAAGTATATGTTAGAAAGAAAAAGAAAATAAAAGAAAAGCCTTGAGCCTTTAAGTTTAATAACTAAGAGAGAGTCTAGTGTGCTTTATGGTGCGTGCCTGTCATCCCAGGGCTGTGCAAGCCTGAGGCAGGAGGATCTCAGCTTTGAGGCCAGCCTGGGCAACTTAGCAATTTATTAAGTCCCTGTCTCAAAGAAAAAATTTTAAAAAGAGCTGGGGATGTGGCTCAGTGTGTGGCCCATGGGTTCAGTCCCCCATACAGCTAAATACATACATACATACATACATACATACATACATACATGGAGGAGGTGAGCCACAGAGTAGGTTAAGAAGAGGCAGCAGCAAGTTAGAAGGGAAACACAGGTGAAGAAAGTACTAAGGAAGCTAGTAAGAGGCTGCTGATTTGGACCAAGTTCTTGCATTGGGTCAACAGACCAAACCAATACAGTTCAATCACAGTCACTGAGTTTTGATTTGTTACATGAGGCCCTGTAGCTCATTAACTAACTAAGCTGCAGCCAGTTGACTGGGCGAAGGACCAGGCTGAGACTGATTAGGTCGTATTCTTGACCTCGTTTCCATGTTTCCGTGAACGCTGTCTGAGCGGGTTTCAGAACCTGCTCTGCCCCTCGAAGCTGCCTGAGGTGCGCATCATGTCTTGCTTTGGTTGTCTGTGGTCACATACATTCTGCTGAGTTTAATTTGACTAAAGGACAAGGATAAGGAATTTTCCTTTCAGCAGTTTTGCGTGGTCAGCGGGGTCTGACCTGGAAGCATCCAGTCACCGAGCACAAAGACTTCGGAGCCCGCGGTGCTGTTTTTTGTGGCAGCTGGGGATTGTGGGTAAGTAAATTCTCAGATTCTGAAGCTTCATGGCTTTGTGTTTTGAGCTGATTTTGTTTGAGCAAGTTTTCAAGTCTGGACTGTGTTTAAAATTTTTCTCTTGGTAAATATGGTATAATTCTATTGTTTGGGGTATTGGATAGATTGTGTCTCGATCATTTTTGATCCCCTGGGTTTGGAACTCATGTTAGAACTAGAACAGGGTCCTATAGGGAAGTCTCTGGACTTTCCTGAGACTAACTAGGTTCAGGAGGTGGATAAGCTCCTAGAAGACAGAATCATTGGTTCATCTGGACTGGGGTCTAGAACTTAGCCTTCTGGATCTTCATGCAGAGTTAGTCTAGGCTGTGGGAGAGGGCACAACCTTGGGTGCCATGAGAGCATATGAACTCTGTGGAATCTGTGGCTGCCTGGCTCAGAGAGAAATAGGACCAGGTCCAGCACCTGAAACTTCTCCATTTGGAGCTCCAGCCAATTTTATGTATAAGAATTACCAGAAAGGGTTATTTTAAAGAAATGGTAATGGGAATCTTGTCAGAACTAACTTAGAATTACAGTGGCCACAGTGAGGAAGTTTTAATTTGGGCAAAATTGTGAACTTGTAGGATATATTGGGAAAAGAGAAGCTCCCACAGAAGCAGTGAGAAATGGGTGCGTTTTAAAATTGGTGCACAGAGGCTTTTCGAAGACTAACAGGGACCAGTCATTTACAGAAGTTGAGCCCTTAGACCAGTGGGGTTTGCTTCTTTACTCACTTTTATGACTTGGTTAAACCCTTAAGCTCAGAACAGTAAGGTAAGCGTTATCTTAGTCCTCCCTTGAGATGCTTCCTCTGCCCTGTTTGTTGATTGGCCTCACTCTGAACTTAGTAATATAGTTAAAGGAATACAGGCTGGGGTGGGCTGGGCTGGAAAGCTGGGGTTTTTTTCGTAGAGACCTATCTTTGGTGAAAGAAACTTCACCTGTGACAAAATCTCCATTTATAGGGGTATCTCAACAGGGAGAGAGGAAGGACTGTCATTAGAGGATTTTACAGTGGAGAAGGTGAAACACTGGGTGAATGTTAACCATTTGGGTCAAGCCTCACTTTTGACAATTTTTGCCGTTGTTGTTGTTTTTTGCTTTATGTATAATTCTTTTTATTTTCATGCAAAATAAAGGCACACCTTTCAATTTGACTTACAGGATTTAAATTCAACCCCTTATAACAACTTAATATCTACTATTACATTCATGTTCAGAATGCACAAAGTGCAGCAACAAATGCAGCAAACCTGAAAGAGTGCTACAAAGCTGCTTCTACATCAAAAGACAGACAGGTGTCTGATAGAGTAATTTAATTGAACATACTTTTACTATTTTGTTTTAAGGAAGATTCCTACTTATGTTTTTTTGTTGTTGTTATGGCATCTTGGGCCTGAAATCTGCCGTCTTGCTAACAATCATTCAGGGCCAGTCAAGAAAATGGCAGCCTCCTTAGACTCCACCATCTTGCTGAAATGAGTAAAATGGTTGGAGTGGAGTGGAGTGGTTTTTGAAGAAAGATGAGTGGAGCCCGAGAAAAATAGATGACAGAGTGTAATAAGGTCTGCCTGGGGATGGTGAAATTACCTCTCCTGAGATAAACTCGTTTTCAGGAGATTGATAACAGTTGAGTTCTTTTGCAGACTCTAATTAGCAGGTGAAGAGAATTCAGAAAGCTTTGCTCTGTTTACCCATTGGTAATTACTGGTAATATTGTAAAGCAAAATCCTTGGGGTGGTATTTTCTCAGCCTTTTCAACAGCTAAATTTAACAAGCAATTCAAGCATATGTAAGTGGTGTGAAAGTTTGTGATTGCACTTGTCAGGAGTCTTTTTAAATCTTGGAGTTCTGTTGTAGTAAATCGAGTGGTAAATGTTTATGAAATATCTGGATCATTTTTAAGTAAGTTAAAGTACTGCACTAAAACTTTGTGCAGGGTAAATGTGATTCTGACTCATGGGAGATTTTCTACCTTTATTGATTTAAGCACGCTCTTAGAAATTGTTCTGAAGACATGTTGATTGCTTTCCTGAGAAAATGTGTGGAGTGTATTTTGACTAATTGGAAAACATTAATAAATGACAAGTCGGTTGAAAGTCAGTGCACGTTGTTTAACGGATATTTGAACATCTGTATGTAATACATCCTGTTAGGGCTGGGGATAATATGGCAAGCAAGGTAGATTTGCTTCCCTTGTGGAATATCATAGGAGAAACACAGGAATACACAGAGTGTAAGAAAAAATAGAAATTTAGCAAGCATGTCAAGTACTGTTACGGTTTGCATCTAGATGTCCCCCCAAAGCCTCATGTGGTCATAGGCTATTCTGGAGGTGACTGAATCTAGAGTGTGTGATTGATTCCTGGTGCAGTGCTAGGCCCGAGGGCTCTAGGATTAAGGGTGTGAGTGCTACCCGCCCTAAGTACTCTAGTGATATATGTGCACCCATGTTCATAGCAGCACAGTTTGTGATAGCTAAAACTTGGAAACAGCCCAAATGCCCAGCAACTGGAGACTGGATAAAGAAAATGTGGTTTTTTTATAAAATGGAGTACTACTCAGCCATAAAAAAGAGAAATTAGAGACACTTATAGCTAAGTGGATGCACATTAAGGTGATACTCTTAAGTGAAATAAATAGGACACACATGTGTAAATACCGAATAGTTTCTCTGGTGTGAGAAACTGAAAGTGTAAGTAAGGACTAAATGTATAATAGGTAATGTGAAATAGGAAGAAAAGAGGCAAAGGGGAAGGAAGTGGGAGGGCTAGGGGAAAGGATAGAAGGGAATGGGATTAATATGAGAAAATGGAAAACTAGGAACAAAATCTTTGTAAATAGGGAGGAATGGGGAGGTTGAAGGGAGGGCTGGGCAAGGGTAAAAAATAAGAACCAAGAGAGACTATGTAAAGGTGCAAATTTCCAATGATGAATGTCATTATATTTTATACCTAAAATGTACCAATGATTAGATGAATAATCGATAATGCAAAATAGGAAGAAAATGTCCAAAGGGGTAGGGGTAGTGGGAGGGGCAGGGGAAAGGAAAGAAGGGAAAGGAAAAATGCTGAGAAATGGAAAAAATGGAAATAAAGTCTTTGTAAATAGGGAAGGGTGGAGGGCATGAAGGGAGGGCTAGGAATGGGGAAAAAATAAGAACCAAGATGCATTATGTAAAGGTACAATTCCCAGTGAGAAATGTAATTGTGTTGTATACCTACAAGGTACCAATAAAAGAATTTAATACAAAAAAATCTATCTCCCCACTTCCTATTATCTTTTATTTTGTACTTTATTTATATATTGAGTTTCTCATATAAGAGAATCCATGTGACAAGTACGCTTGTATGTCTGGTTTACTTCACTAATGGATTTAAATTTTAATATAGATTGGACAATGTTAAAAAAAATAAAAAAAAGATAAAAGGGGCAAGGAAATGCTGCTAAGGTCCCTTGTTGCTTTTGCTACTTTGTGCTAGTCTTGTTTCTCTGCGGTGCCTGTTTGCTATCCCTCCCTTGAAGCCAGCTGATTATGGACTGAAACCTCAAGGTTTCGGGTTTTATTGTAAGCCAAATAAACCTTTCCCCTCTTTAACTTTGAGCATCGGGTATTTTGTCTCTGCAATGAGAAAAAAGTAACTAACACAAGTACAATGAAGAAAAAAGAAAATTGTCCACTCACTAGTATCTTCAAATACATGAATGGGTCCATTGAATTCCTTATGTTAACCATTTTTGTTGATTTTATTGCCAAAAATAGATTAATAGTTGAAAATTAACACATTCTTCCAGTGGAACATCTTGTTTTTAGGTGGTACGCAGAAGTTGTGTATTCAGGTTCTTCCATGGATGTTCAAAGAGCTGTATTATGAGGAAATGTGAAAAAATATGAAATGATTCTTATCTGCAGAATGCCAATATGAAACTGTTCAAAATTGCTTAGTTTTCATTAGAAATTAAGGGTATTAACAGTTAAATTTTAATATCTGATCATTAAAGCTAGAAATAAGTTTATACAGTGAAAGTAAGACGTGTTTTTTGGTAAGTCAAGATGTGTAGGACACAAAAGATTTTTCTTAATGGAAAAGGAGAGTAATTCCTTTTTTGCCTAAAAATAAACAAACTTACAAAATGAGAAAAGTATAAGACAAAAAGGTGAATGAGTAAGATTGCAAATTTGCAGTAGATGAAAAGAATTTTACATGGTTAAACTGGGTAAAATTAGAAAAGTTATAAGCTTTTATTAAAATTGAACATTAATATAAAATATAACTATGCAAAATTACAATTTTATTCCCTATGTTAAATTTTTCTTCAAAAATTGATCTGTTCTAATAGGAAGCAGAGATTTATTGGTCTTTTGATTAGGAAAACTGAGTCCTCTCTACTGAAGAGCTGAGATTGTTCCTCAAACTATGAAGCTTTCCAAATTTGCCTTTAAAGCCTTTTGAATGTCATTTTGTTTTAAACGAATGTCTATTGTTCACAATGACCTGTGATCTTTTGAGCAAGGGCTGTAATCCTATGATATTTGGGACAAACTTCCCAAAATTAAGTTCTAGACTATGTCTTTTGGCATTCAGCTGACTTGGGGACATTTTAAAGGGCACTTTGGGATGTCCGAAAGAGACCTACTGAAATAATTAGGCTTCTTGAATGTATTAAATTGTACAGAAAGCATTATCAGCTAAAATATGATAAATCTTCTTTGAGTTGTATTTGTATGAAAATGTTAGTGAGTTCAAAAAATTTTATGAAATTCATAGAAGTTTGGTGGTCCTGAGGTAAAGCAATCAGTCATAATTTCAATTATTTAAGATACCTTATGCAACAGAAATAACTAAATTCCCTTGTTACTTACGTAATATATTAATGAACTCCTGAAGTGTTTCATATTCAGGAAGACTTATGGAAGTGACTCAATCAAGTATGGGTATTTAATAACATTGATATCATATCACTGGACTGGGCATGAA